TGTAGTGTAGTGTAATGTAGTGTAGTGGAGTGTAGTGTAATGTAGTGTAGTGTAGTGTAATTTAGTGTAGTGGAGTGTAGTGGAGTGTAGTGGAGTGTAGTTGTAGTTGTAGTTGTAGTTGTAGTGTAGTGGAGTGTAGTGTAATGTAGTGAAGTGTAGTGTGTAATGTAGTGTAGTGTAGTGTAATTTAGTATAGTGGAGGGTAGTGGAGTGTAGTGGAGTGTAGTGGAGTGTAGTGGAGTGTAGTGGAGTGTAGTTGTATAGTTGTAGTGGTAGTGTTGTGGAGTGTAATGTAGTGTAATGTAGTGTAGTGGAGTGTAGTGTAGTGTAGTGTAATGTAGTGTATTGTAGTGAAGCAAAGGGAAGCGACATCTGAACCTCCAAAATTGGTCCGAACCCCTGGTGTTTTTAACATTTTGACTTCGAAATGTGCTTCGCGCCACAGTGGCGTGCACTTTTTCGACATCTGAACTTCCAAAAGTGGTCTGAACCCCTGGTGTTTTTAAACATTTTGACTTCGAAATGTGCTTCGCGCCACAGCGGCGTGCACTTTTTCGACATCTCAACTTCCAAAAGTGGTCCGAGAATGTTGTGTTTTGTACATTTTGACTTCCACATGTGCTTCGCGCCACAACGGCGTGCACTTTCTCGACATCTCAACTTCCAAAAGTGGTCCGAGGCTGGTGTGTTTTGTACTTTTTGACTTGGAAATGTGCTTCGCGCCACAACGTGCTTTGCGGGAGAGCAACTGGAGGTGGCCGCGGCGCTGCCAATTATGCGGATATTGTGCGGTACTGCAGGTTTCTAAACGCATTGTAACAACTGCAGGACGGGAAGTTTTTGAGAAGAATTCGGTTACAGATTGAAAGAAGAGTCGCCCAGCAAGGGAGGTAGCTCAGAACAGAAGCGGGCCAGAGACAAACTAGCCCAGACAAGAGGCAGCTCAGAGAAGAAGTAGCTGAGAGAAGGGGTCTCGCAGAGAAGAGGTAGCTCAGCAAAGAGGTGGGTGGCCCAACCAAGAAGTAGCTCAGTGAAGGGGTGGCCTCGAGAAGACTTGGCTTAGGGATATTCACGTCGCTTCGCGACAGCAACCGCCCGCACCGCATCGTTCTCTTCTACTGCCATTGTTCTCTTCTATTGCCGTCGCTCCGCGACAAGAACCCCTGTGCGGCCGCCACGGTTTGAACGATGTTGTTCTCACACCTTCGCGACCGCTCGTAACTGCCAATGATGTCGGCCATTGAGACCAAAAACATCCGAAAGTACTGATTGTCGGAAAAAAAACGCGAAGAATTTGATAGCCATGTATAGCGGACCAACGCAGTTCAAAAAATAGCGAAAAACATGAAAAAACGGCGAAATTGCTGTTATTTACAGTGTTTTTGCGCGGTGAGAAGCAGAAACCACTGCAAATACCATGGTTTTTGAGGGTCAGGTGGCCAAAAACACTGTAATTTACAGTGTTTTTTTAACCAACGTCAAAAAACACTGGTATTTACGATGTTTTCATTCACACCGTAACATAAAACAGCGTAATTTACGAGGTTTTTGGAAGTTTTGAAGCTAGCCGTCAAGCATGCAGAAAACAGAAAAACACTGTAAAAACCAGTGTTTCTGCTATCACAAAACGACGAAAATCAGTCCGAAAACGGGTCCAAAAACTCAAAAATCCGCCTCCGGGCCCGGCCACCTGCGGAACCGCAAAAAAAGATGTTGCAAACCAAAAAATTGAGGTCAAAAAGTTGAAAAACACGGTTTTTTTTCACTTTTCGCTTGCCGATTTTGGACGGGCGCGTTCACGAACAGGTGTCTTCCGTACTGTTTTTTACAGTGTTTTTTGAAGGCGAGCGTCACGACCTATCAAAAACAGGAGGTTTTGGCCGAAAAATGTCCCCCCCCCCCCAGGTAAACCTGTAACCTTTTACGAGTGCCATCCGGACGATCACGCCCCAGCACCTTCGGTGCGGGCGGATTTAGGGAATGGGTAGCTCCACAGAGAAGTAGCTGTAGCTCATGAATTGCTTCATTCCTTCATTCCTTGGCGTGCAATTTTTCATCTCTCATCTGGCCAGCTGGCTCCTCACCCACGGCTTTAGCGAGCCTACTTTTCGACCCTCCGGAGCCTCAAATCATTTGAAAAACACAGTGTTTCGCGACTTTCCTACCTTTTCGCGCATCTGCATCGAATCTTCTTTCTTCTGACTCTTTCTCTTCTCTGATCTTCTCTCTTCTACTCTCCTCTTCTCGCTGCCTCTGCCCTACTCTGCTTTTCATCTGTCCATATTGTCGGAAGTTTGACTTCTAAACTTCCTTCGACAAAACATACGTCAAAGCGGACTCTCCGGAATATCCAAAGTTCACTGGCACCAAGTGTTAGATCGATCGAGGACTGAGGGGACTTGGAACGACACATTCCCGCAAGACTCCATTGCGTTTTTGCAACGTCTTAAAGGGGCGGCTGGGCAGACGTGGGGTCATCGAGACGCTTTGTCAATCGTGATTGTTTCTCATATAGAACATTCAAGCAAAAATCTGGACAACCTACTTCGAATTTACAATCAATACAGACAGATTGCGGACGAAGGACTTATCACATCGATTTTCGTGACCAGGGAACGCTGTGGAATCGTTGGGAAGGCAGCTACAATTTGGAGCTATACCCTCAACTATCAAATTCCTTCCGCTTTGGTTGATGATAATCACGAAGTGATTGCTGAGAACTCTGAAGAAGTCCACACGTGCCATATACATATCAGACGCAAGCCAAAGTGCCCAGCAGCTGAGACCGTGCAACACTATTTGTTGGATTGTGCGGCTCCTCTGGAACGATTGCTCTGGCGTTACAGGCACCGGTAAGTGAAAAGGGGTGAGAAGCGTTTGCGCTCCATTCCAGGGGCCTAAAATACTTGGTGGTAAGAGCATTCAGGCAACCAGCATTCAGGCAACCGGCATTCAAGAGTGTAGGAATTGTCTTTGTGTTCCATTCCAGGGTCAAGGATTCTTGGTGGTAAGAGTGTTGACACACTTGTGCTCCTTTCCGGGATCAAAGGTCTTTGGAGGGAAGAGTGTAGGTGTTCTCAAACCAACCCAAAATCACAATGCAGAGCTCACAAGAAGGAAGTTCAGAACGTTCTAGGTCTCAAAGGGGTTTAGAAGTGGGTGCGGCACAATCAATTTGCCAATCCTGTCACGCCATCCCAATCGATGACAACCTCAAGTTCAACATCGCAGTCAACTCCGGAGCCAAGGGGGAGTAGGGATCAAAGGATAGGCATTCCAGAAAATCGGATTGCTGTTCATGCCGTGGGGGAAACTATAGGGGAACCCTAGACATCCAGGGTGATCCTCATAAAAGCCCAGAAACTTTGTCTTAGTTTTTGGGATGTCCTCAATCTTCACCGTTGATTGCACCAAATGTGAATGCTGTTCAGCTAGAAGCACAAGATCATGTTCATTCGAATTCATTTCATGGTCAGTATGAATCCACCAGGTCGGGTCAGCAGGGAGCCGCATCCAGCCAGGGTCAATCCCAGGGTCCAACGTTCGTCAAAAATGAGTTGAATGTTTCAATAGATCCTTTTGTAGTTGCACAAGCCGCACATGCTGTGGAGGAAGCTAGGAGTAGTTTCAAATCCCAAGCCATCCAAGCCGTGGAAGAGTCCCAAAGGGTTTCCCAGGTACAAGGACAGAGGCTATGCAGTACTTAGAACATTTTCAGTCTCAGGCCCAAAGGGCAATTTCGGAATCCCAAGCTCAGTCCGTCAACTTCAGAAAGAATTGGAGGATACCGGGGGGGTACAACCCAGATTGTCCAATATGCTTCAAAAGAGATTGAGAGTGCTAAGTCCCAAGCTAGAGTCGAGGTCCAAAGGATAAAACTCGAAGCTCAGTCCGTGGTGTCAAGTTTGGAAGGTAAAATCACTGAACTGGTCCGTATCAATGGGGAGTTGTCCATGAAATCGGTTGAACAAATAAAAATGATCAATGCGTTGACTCAAAGCGTTGATGAGCAGCAGTCGTTGTTAAGCAAGTTGCAAAGTAACTTGGCTATGAGCCCAACATCTAGAGCCGCTGTTGGTACGGATGGTCTCGTGCCATTGCAATTGCCAGTCGCTTCAGGAATCGGACAGTCAAGACTAAGTCGGGACTCCGAGATGCGCTTGCACAGACGGGTCACAGTTCTGGTTCAGGGAGTGTTGCAAGCCCGGTGCAAGACCAACAAGTTCAGTTGTTTGCTTCGCCTTCGCAACGTGGGGAAAGTCCAAAGGATGCCCAACTCAAAGGGTTGGTTGCAGAGGTTAGAATGTTAGCATCAGTTGTTCACAGTTTTGCATCCAATCAAGGGGGCGGTAAAAAGCCAAAAGGGAATGGTTCCAATAAAGGGTCACCCAATGCTTCAAAGGAGTATGACATAGCCACCCCTCCCAAATCACCACCTGGTTCGTCATCTTCGTCGTCTAGCAGTAAGGGGAGCAGGGTGGTGGAAGTGGTCCACCCACTCCGCCAAGGGGGTCGAACGCCTCTGGGGCATCACCCTCAAGCAATCGGAGTCGTGTTGTAGATCCATATAAGTATGAAAAGAAAATCATGCGGATCAAACAGTACGATCATCTGAAGATCCCTAACCTTCCTAAATCGGCATCAGATGCGAGGGCGTTTAGAAACTCGGTGTTTAACCTGATCTGTAAACTGGCTAAAGGGGATGAAGAGCCTGTTTTTAAATGGATAGAAGAGTGCGTAAAGCCAAAGGCGTTTGAGTCCCTGAATGATTCATTGCCGTTTCCGCTGTTGGACCGTGTCTTGGGTAGCAAGCTGCTGGAGCTAAGTAAGAACACTCGCTTCCCTATGCACTTCCAGACCATGCAGGAGCCATACCAAAGGAAACATAAGCAACCTAAAGGGAGGCAATTGCTTTGGATCATTTTTGAGAAGTATAAGATGGAAAGAGATCGTGGCGTAGCCCTTATTCAAAGTCATCTTCTCAATTTGAAAATGCAGGGTTCAGACATCAAAGCGCTCGAAGATTTCTGTAACAAGTTTGACTTCATTTGGCAAGCCTTGGAGGTCAGTGATCGGCCTTCAGATTCGTCACTTAGGAGCCTCTTGTTTGAGCAGTTGAAATTTCATCCCAAATTGCAGTTGGCCATCGACAGATTTAGAAATTCTTCCGGGACATCATCAAAGCGTAGCTATCTTTGGTTATATGATAAACTCGTAGAAGCCATTGAAATCCACCAGTTGGAGGAGAATACAGCTAGCATTGAGAAGTCCTTGGCAAACATTGCAACATCCAGCAAGGATGCAAATGCAGCACCTTCGAAGCCGATCAAAGAGAAGCAGAAAGATGACCAAAGCAAAAACAAAACAAACAAAAGGACGCGAAAGACTCTAAGCCTGACAAACCTGACAAAAACAAAAGGGAGCCCAAGGACAAGTCGGAAAAGCAGTCAAAGGCTGCACAACCTTCAGATGTTCAAGCTGCCGTTGCTAAAGGCAAAAGTTCAGGTAAGGGTGACAAAAGGGATGAAAAGAGTCCAAAGGGTAAAAAGGTAAAAGAGGGTGACCGAAAGAAATTACCATGTATGCATTACGCGTACAATAGTTGCAACAAAGGAAACGAATGTCCGTATCTCCATGACTCCAAGAACCTGTATAAAGGGGCAAAACCAAAGGGCCTTGTTGAGAAGGGCACGTCTTCCAGTGCTGGCGCAGCAACTGTGGCAGCCGCGACTGTTGTGGCATCCCAGGTCCAACCATGCTTCGGTCAAGATGTGAGCCGCACTCAAGCGCCGCATCAGGCCGAGGGTGCGAAGTTTGGGGTCAATCATCCGAGTCGGAAAAGCAGCCGAGAGGTGTACAACCTTCAGAGGGTGAGGCCTTTACCAAGGGGGTGTTTAACAAAGCCAAACGTGCATGCAGGGAGTTTTTGAAGTCGCAACCTCAAAAGCCAAATCCCAGACTCAAAGTCCCAAGAGTCGGAATGTTCGAAAAAGCCGTTAAAGTGTTCTCAGCCTTTGCAGCATGCGTAAGTCCAGTTGTGCCGAGGTGAATCAAGAGTTTCTTTTGCATACAGGGGTTGGTAGAAACTTAATTTCCTTCTGCGCAATGCCAGAAGAGTTCAAAGAACATGTCAACGATGCACCTGAAAGGATCCAGTTTGCCACTGGGGGGGGGTTAAGCCAAGTTCCAAAGCCTTAAATCTCCAAGGGCCATTGTCAGGTAACAACACGTTTTATACGTTAAAGGATTGTCCACATGCTTTGTCCGTAGGGATTCAGGTGAATGAACATCAAAGACCTTTCACATGGTTTCCAAATCAGTTGCCTTATTTGGTAAAAGCCGATCAAGTGCAGGACATTGTCCACCATGTGCCGGAGTCAGCCAAAATTTACGCTGATAGGGTTCAAGAAAATGTTCCAATAATCTCTGAATCTGTAACAATTGCCATGCCAGCATCAACAGGCGGTAGCAGCTCTTCTAGGGACTTGCCAGTTGAAGCTCCAGTTCCATTGCCCGGTCCACCAAGGCGAGAAACGCTTGAGGACGAGCCGATGAGAAGGCCTGATGATCTTCCGAGGTCAGAGGAACCTTTGGTTTTAAGGGGGGCAGGTGTGCCACACTTTGGGGCCGGGGACGATGAAATAATCATGGCGAAAGAACCTTCAAAAGAAGAAGCTGATAAGGCATTAGATTCTGAAGATGAGGAACTTAACCCTAGGACGCCGTCGGTACGAGACAAGTTGCAAGCCGAATCCAAAACTCTCAAACATGCCTTAACCCATTTCCTAAAAATAGATACTGTGAAGTTTGCCGTAGGGCCAAAATGACAGCTAGGTACCATAGAAAAAGGGACCTTGAGGTAGACCCAGAAGAGGCTCCACCACTTCATCATGGCCATCAACTTCGTGCAGACCACATAATCTTGGAGGAAGATCTAACTAAAGAATCAGAAGGGGAAAGGGCTTGTCTTGTTTGTTACAATGAGTACAGTGGAGCTTTGCAGGGATTCCCTCAAACAAATAGAACCACTGATGCTAACATCGCGGCACTGCAAAAGTTCGGCGGGACAAGAGCGCATGGCAAAGCCTTGTGCAATGTCAAAACTGACTGTGCCACAGAATTGGTCGAAGCGGTTAAATATCTGGGTTGGTTACCTGATCCGGGAATCCCAAATGATGATTACCATAACGCCAAGCTAGAACGCATCATTAGATCCATCAAAGAAGGTGCGGTGTGAGGTCAATCCACCTTAAGGCAGGTTTCATGACTTGTGGCCCAGAAGTGTTGAATACTTCTGTGTAGCACGTAGCTTTAGCACTCTTGCGCCAATACACCCATATGAAGGGGATGAGGTCAAGACGGAAAAGTCCATGCTTACGTGCTATGAAGCTGCAAATGGCGGTTCGCCATTCACAGGCCTGAGAATTCCGTTGGGTGCCTTGGTCTATTATAAACCCCCAAAACATAGAGAATTGCCAGCTTTTAGTCTCAAAAGGGTTT